GCGGGCGGCGCTGGACCGGGGAGAGCAGGGGCAGGACCCGGCGCTTCGTGCGGGCCGAGAGCTTGGCTGCCCGTAGGGATTCCCCTTGGACACAGCTCCTCTGGTCCCCACGCGCTGTCTGCCCCTTGGACTCGGGGCCGAGCACGGGGGAGGGGGCACCAGACAGAAAGGGGGCCCGAAAATGGTAACTTTTAAAACATTATCATCATCTCTGGAAAAGGAGGGACTGATACTGAAAGTTGGCCCAGGGCTGCCAGGAGACACGGTCGGTGCCGCAAGCCGGGACGGGGGCGGGTTGGGGCCTTCCAGAAAGGGATAAGAGGGCGAAGGAGCTTCTGGGTGCTCTCCGTGGCTGCAGAGCTTGGGGCTGCCTCGGGTAGCGCCATCCAACCCCGCTGAAGTTTAAAAGCAAAGCTATTAGTTAAAGGAAAATGGTGGGAGTGAGGGGTACGGCCTCCAAATCAGAACTTCCTCGACCTTCAATGGTAGAGGGCACACGCAGGAGGGGAACGGCACGGCGAGCAGAAACCCTGGTGAAACTCAGTCCAGTCTTCCTTTCAGACTCCGCGCCCTGCCGCTGAGAGGCACAGGAGATGAAGCAAGATGGACCTAGGGTCTGGCCCCATCAGTGGCCGTTCTTATGTAACCTTCCTTCCACCTGGTCAGACAGCAGTTGTGGCTGTCCTCCATTGTACACTTCCCCAGGTGGAAGAAAGAGAATATACTTGCTAATCTACCCAATAACTGTTCTGTCTCTTTTCAGAAAATGAAACGCAGTGTGTCCTCCCTCCATCGTCAGAATTTCCTGAAGGGTTTTTTACTCGACAGGAGAGAGAGGACGGAGGAATCGTTATCTATTTCATAATTGTACTGTACATGTTCATGGCGGTATCCATCGTATGTGACAGTTACTTCCTACCTTCCCTCGAGATCATCAGTGAATGTAAGTCCCCATAATCTTCTGTAAAATTGAACTGCTGTTGTAAGGAAAGATCTCTTTGAAAAACTTCACAACACAGCAGTTATTCAGAAATTACTGGAGAAAGTGCAAAGTTTGTTTGGATTACTTGAGAAAATGTACAAGGAAAGCAGATTTAAGGTTGATAACAGGATCTGATGCACTCTCTAAATGCCATTATCTTGGGGGCATAGCCAAGCATATTCAATCAGTGGTATTCCTGTTGTATAGACCATGTTGACAAATGGGAGAGGGTTCAGGGAACCACAAGAGTGCTTAAAAGATAGGAAAACATGCCTTATATAACGAAAGATACTAGGAGCTTCATCTATTTAGGTTCCCAAAGACAGGTTAAGTGGTGGCGTGTACTCAGTGTGTAATTGCCTATAAAGCTGGAAAGACATCTGGTCAGAGGATTTGTCTGTCTAGCAGACAGAAGTATAATGAAAGCCAAAGGATGGAAGCTGAAGCTTGACAAATTCAGCCTTGAAATAGAGCATGAGTTATTAACAGTGACAGTAACCAACCTGTAGGAGCAACTAACCCTGGGTGATTGTAAACTTGCTAATCACTGGACACTTCTAAATAGAGAATAGATTTTAAGAGATTCTAGTCCCATGCCTGTGTTATGCAGCAGGTCATACGAGACAATCACAATGGTTTATTAGGTCTTCTCATTTGTGAAGCACCCACTACATTAAAGCAACTGCCAGAGGAGCAGAGTGCCTACTTTATATATGTGTACACACAGCGACACATGCTCTAAGGTGATGGATGCATTAAGAAATACCTAACATTCAAATGAAAGGGGAAGAAAAGGGCTTAACTTGCTAAACTACTAAAATATAATTGGTAAATTTTATTTAAGAGCAGCAGGATACTGGTAAAAAAAAAAATTGCTTTCTTCTATACCAACACTTGGGGAAAAAACAAAACATGTGCATATACACTAGGGCAGACTTAGTCTTATTCTTTCTTTTATCCCAAATATAATATAGTATTGAAGAATAAACAAAAAGAAACAAAATTCAAATTCTAAATCTTAAGTAGTTATTTAAAGATGCTTCCCTGTACTTCAGAGAATGCTGAGGGTGTCTTGAATCTAACTGGGCCTCACAGTACATTTGCATATATTCTAGAAATGGGTTGAGAGAGAAGGCAGTAGCATAACAAACAGCAAAGGAAGGCATGAACTGTAGTGCAAACTAGCAACCTGAGTATGCACCTAAGAATCTCAGTGGCTTTGCATAGCTTGTGCTGAAGTCTATATCATGTACACTACAATATTCTCCATTTAACTTGTATTGTACCTACCTAACCCTAACTGATACCTGTGAACACTTAAGAGCCTTACTCATTGGCAGAAAAAAAAAAGGAACTTAAGATGTCAAAGAGTAAAATTACAAAAATGTTTTGTTTTTGCTTTAGTGGGTTTTTTTAATAAACTAAGAAAATTAATTTAAAAATTGACTGGTTGAAAGACTACAAAACAGTAACTGAGAACTGCTTATTGCTCTCCAGTTAACATTAGCAGCAAAGGAATATCTCAATTCTACCCTTTTTAAGCAGACACCTCTCCCATGCTTGCTTATATTGGAGAAAGAAACTGACATGCTCCAGTGAATGTTTCCAGACAGAACTCTTCATTCAAAGATTGATAGCAAAAGCATCTTCACTGCTGTTAATGGAATTGCTTATCAACTTCAATAGATTTTAAACTGGCCTTCCCATGATTCTGACCATCTTGGGCTTTCCTTCCCAGCTCACGTGGTCATAAATATGTAAAAGAAATGTACCACACTTCTATTTCAGATGTCAGTTTATGACTGCAGAAAAAAAAGTCTTAAGCTAGCTCTCAAATATTTTAGCACGAAATGTGTTTCTTTTTTGGGTCCCCCTTTACCCACCTGTACAAGGGGTAAATGATGGGCTAAGCCACACGATGCTTTTGGGATAATCATGCCTACTAATTCTAAGTTATTGATCCTGGAAACATTTTGTAGGATCAGATCTCAAATTCTTCTACAACCTCAGGCACTTTCTATTATTTCAGGCGTTAACATTTTTCAATCACCATCACAAATAAATACCAAAGTCCTGAAAGCTAATAATACATTTTTTAAAATTCTGGCCCTTTAATGTCTGATTTTAGTCTTACTGATTAATTCAAAGATCCCAAAATAGCTTTTATAACTTGTTCTTTAACCAAGTCATTTCTCTAATTCCATGTTGTTGCAGTTCAAGGGCAAACTTCCTGCTCTTCTGTCTTCCTGTCTCTTCTTGCTTGTACTTATGACACGATTATAAGACGGGGATCAGCAACGTTTTTGGCCACAGTGGCAAAAACACTCCAGCCTCGACCCACACCTCAACTTAAGCGTGCCAGGAACAGACAGCAGGGGAGCCACAAGGAGCCTGATCCTCATTGCTGGCAGCGGATGCACCCTCTTCCCTGCCACATGCCCAGAGGCACACGTCCAGCTGCCGCCAGCCACAGAACCCAGGCTGCTTGCAGCAGGTGGCGAGTAGGCTGCAAACAGCTGCACCAGGGTCCAGAGACCTGGTCCAGCTCCGTGACTGGTAGTGGTTGCATGCACACCTCGGGGTGCAGTGGGGAAGGGGACAAGGTTGCACAAGCCCAGCCCCTCCCCCGTTGTTTGCTCAGAGGCACCTGCACACCCAACACCATGGAGCCAAACCAGGGCTCTGCAGACCTCCATAGTGGTTTGCAACCTCCTGGCCACCTGCCACAGCCAACCTGGGCTCCGGACAAGCCCCTGCCACCCATCGCAGAGCCTGGGCTGCTCATAGGAGGCAACAGGGAGGCTGAAAGCTGCTCCACCAAGTTGCTGGCTGTGGGTTTATGTGCATCTCTGGGCAGATGGCAGGGAAGGGGCCATGGTTGTACTGCCCTATCCCCTTCCCCTGTGTATCCCAAGGCACGCATGTAGTCACTACTGGCCACAGAACCAGGCCAGGGCTCTAGATGCCAGTGCACCAGTTGCAGCTCCCTGGCTGCCTGTCACAGAGCCCAGGTTGCTGGCAACAGGGGCTTGCAACCTCCCTGCCACCTGCTGTGAGCAGCCCAGGCTCCATGGCTGGCTGCAGTGTGCTGACCAAAACAGCCTCATATGTCATGCTCTGGCACACGTACCAGGGGTTACCAACCCATTATAAGATACTCTTGGCAGTGTTGCTTATAGTCATGGGTTAGGTTTCAAGTGATGATTTGGGGGATTCCTTCTCTCCCTACAAATACAATGGACTGGACCTCAAGTGGCCTAGAAGGCCCTTTCCACTCCTATGTTCTATTGAGTAATGTAAAGAGGAGGATTTTGTTTCTAATACATGAACAAATAATTTATAAGGATGTTAGACTGTTCTGCTTTTAACAAGGTTTCTTTATACTTCTTTTCACAGCCCTTGGCCTCTCTCAGGATGTTGCTGGAGCAACTTTTATGGCAGCTGGTAGCTCTGCTCCTGAACTAGTCACTGCTTTTTTGGGTAAGAAAACTGACTGGTCAGAATATATCATTCACTCCCTTAAAACCCCCAAAAGTGGAGATTAGGTTAAGTGCTACTTTGCTTGCAGGAGTGTTTGTGACAAAGGGAGATATTGGAGTGAGCACTATCCTTGGATCAGCAATCTATAACCTTCTTGGTATCTGTGCAGCTTGTGGACTGTTATCTAGTATGGTACGTATCAATTTGGATCATTACTCTCAAAACTACATAAAAACTGTCTTTCTATGGTTTATTGAGAAAAGCCACAAAACAAATTTTGTATGACAACTGTCAAGTTTATTCAGTTTAAAAAAACCCCCACAAAAAACACACCAGCATGAAATTTAAGTTTTAGAAGATAACTCACCAATAAGATTATTAAAGTTTTTAAAAACACTAACTTGTTAAATTATTGTACTTCAATCATACCTAAGAATTTAAAAAGTTATTACATAAGAGAGGAACATTGATGCAGTATTTACAGTAATGTGAAAGTATTACAGCAGCTTCAAAGAGAGAAATGTGTTTTGCAGGCTTCACGTCTATCCTGTTGGCCACTGTTCAGAGACTGCCTGGCATATACAGTTAGTGCAGCAGCAGTCCTTGCAATGATATTTGACAACAGAATTTACTGGTAAGAGCACCACTAGTGTCAAATTTATACTGACTGGAGATTCATGAGATGGTGTAAAATTTTAAGTTTGTTGTTTACTTCAAATATTGGCCTCAAGAAGCCTGATTTAATAGTCACCAACATAAACCAAAGATCTCCTTGGCTTTGAAGAAATTAAATAATCCAGTGCTTGTGAAGGCTATTAACATCCCTAGACTCCTACACATTTTTAGATCTCAACCAACACCAGCATCCATATGCTGCCACATGATTTACTTTGAATTTGTTTGAGTGGCCCCTCTCTTGCGCAGGTAGTTTCTCTCTCGTCTGGCCTCTCCATTCAGGACAGTAACCCTAAGAAACATCTCTCTGCTATTAATTGGACTGACTTTACATGGAACTGCTCAATTATTTTTAGTTAATACTGGCCACAAGTGGATTTGAACCTGTGAGAGGTTTCCCTCATTAGCAAGTCTTGAGCCATCCATTTGCCAGTGCTTCCTTCCTTCCCACAAAAATTAGTCTGTGAGGTGGGCAATATGGGACAAAAATCTGACCAAGTTTCTCAGGAAATGGGAATTAGAAGCACCCAGAAAAATGCCATTAATTTTATGGTTAAATTATTTGCAGGGCAAATATACAAGTATCAAATCGGGTGAAGAGTTTTCATGTAAAGAGAGAAAAAGTTGTATTGAGGTCAAGGGAGATGCATCTACCCACATCAGAAGAGAGATGGTCTAGTTTCTCCATTCTAAGAGGAGGTTCTGCTGTATTCTCCAGCAACTTAGCTGGAACTAAAAATGTAGTACTGAAGTTCAACTGTTGTTGTGATACTTAGTAGAAGGAGGCATGTCCATTATGAATAATTGCAGGACTGACTCGTTAAGTGTTTTCTTAAGCTCCAAGGGATGATATACAACTATAAAATACATAAGATTTAACAGGACTAGGCCATTACTCTATGAATCAATCTGCTGCAAGATAAAGGAGAAATATTTAACCTCCAGTAAGGAATCAATATATAAAAGTATCTGTCCCTGTACATCTAGAATACTTTTCAATAGAGCATAAAAGCTGCCTTTGTTTTCACTTATTTTTCTTCTGTAACCAAAACCGTTTAAAATTCTTATCTCCAAGTAAAATCCAACTTTTATTCTAGGTATGAAGGCGCTTTCTTGTTGTTGATATACGGATGTTACATTCTGGTGCTGTGTTTTGACATTCAAATTAATCAGTATATTATGAAGAAGTTTAGCCCCTGCTGCACCTGTTTTGCAAACTCCGTGGAAGAGAATGCTGAACAACAGCCACTGACTGGGTGGAAGGAAGAGAGTCGGCCACTAATTCGTCGACAGTCGAGAACAGATAGTGGAATTTTTCAAGATGAATCAGATTACTCTCAACTTTCTATAAGTTTACATGGGCTTGATATTCCTGAAGGTATTAAAATACAGCTTCTACAACTGAGTGGATAGCTTTTTCAGTTGTCTCAAAAAGGAGTTAAGCTTTCAGACAACTTGCTTTTAAAAAGCTCTAGATCATAGAAGAACTGTAAATGAGTTTCTATACATCACTAATCCTTCTTGGAACCTGCCCTTCATATAACCAAGCCTTCCAATTGTATTAAAATCACCAAAAAAACAGAGGAGTTGATTGTTACCATATACTCAATACCATATTAAGTAAACTAAGAAGGATAGTTACTAGTTTTTCCCTGGGATTCTTTGTGGATATATTGCTCAGCCAATAGTGCATTTTATCAGTTGAAAGACACTCATATAAAAATAAAAGCCACTTGCACTAAGACATATGGGGATATTGCAACAAGGGCAGGTTTAGAGAATGGAGTCAAGAGGGTAAGCAACAGCAATGACAGAAAGCTTCAGTTTCCTAAAATACACTTTCAGGTAACTACTAGATAGTGGTCAGTGCTTTCTTGTACTATAGTAGTATCTTTTGAAAACCCGTTACAAGTAGTTACTCAAGTATACCTTTCCATAATGCAAAAGGGGAGGGAGAGGGAGAGAGAACTTCAGAGATTTACCTATAGAGCTGCACACACTGATAAAGTTAAGTTAGGCAGAATATTTATATACTTTTCTCCATCATTTTCACCAACAATTAAAAACCCAACTACATGCAAATATGGCATTATGGTGGGGTAGTTAAAAAACTTTTACCTTTTTTCTCTCTCCAACAGATCCTTCAAGTGTCTTCACCATGCCTGAAGCAGATATGAAGAGAATTCTCTGGGTATTATCCCTTCCTATTATTATACTTCTCTATTTGACCATACCAGACTGTAGAAGACAGTTTTGGAGGAACTGGTTCATGGTGACATTTTTCATGTCAGCAGCATGGATTTCTGCATTCACATACGTCCTTGTATGGATGGTAACAATTGTGGGTATGTAGTTAACAATTTCTCAAACCAAGTAATACATGATCTGATGAATGAGTGAGTTTGCCTGCAGCTTAGCACTATACCCTTCCCTGAAAAAAAAAAAAAGCTTAGCCTCAACCTACAGAGTCAACTTGCTTCCTCAGCTTAGTAAAAAGTTTTGTAACTAGAGCCTAGTTGCACTATCAAATTTTTCCATCCATATGATGGGCAAATGTTCATATGGCTCTGTAACGAGGAAGGGAGAGAAACCACTCATCTGAACAGTGCAACAAGTAGTGAAGCAAGAGCAAGAGGAACAAATTTTCAATATTAAAGACCTTAAACAGTATTAGATACGGTATTATTTTAAACAAAGTTACCAAATTTATCTGCCAAAACTGGAATGAGTTTCCTCCATACAACCGTAATTCTCATTAACACTTTTGAAACAGTTTCACTGCAAACATGGAGGGACTTGTATCATATCAGTTGTTGAAGAGATGCTCAAATTCCATAGTTCAAGAAGAAACTTTCAAAAAAAAATAGTAAGTCATCTTAAAATTTGTCATTTGAGAGGGACTTGTAAAAGAAAAGGAAAAAAAAGAAAATGTGGGGCTCACCCTTTTCTGCTGAAAATGTTTTTTGGTTTGTTTTTGTTTTTTTTAAATAGAAAAAGTAATCAAGAATATCAAGTACTGCTGCATTTCTTGGAAGCTTTGTCTATTATGAATGCAAGTCCATATCTTAAAAGGGGAAGGACAGAATTGCTAAATCTAAGTCATCATGGTTCCCCCAGCAATGGGACTTGGAACGATAACTGTAAAAGCAAACATGTTTCTTAATCTAAATTGTTTCCCCTTTCAATCTTATTTCCTAGTTCTGCAGTGACTTCCAGTAGAAACCAGTTTCTAACTTGAAAACCAAGCAGGGCAGTTAAAAGCCTTCCACTATGTCAGTATATTAAAAGCAGAAGGGGGTGGGAAATGAAAAAAAAAAAAAAAAAAAAAAAAAAAAAAAGGATATAGCTCTTGCTTCTCTCCCTGGTAACTCACTCTAGCTCTACCTGTATATTTTATTACTTATGCATCTTATTTACAGTTAAGCCTACCTTACATTACTCCCTTTTTAAAAAAATACAGAAAAGAAAGCAACTGCCACAGGGGTGGATGCAATTTGATGCAAACTAGTATGTCTCATATTCTAATATACAGGTACAGAATTCAGCACTCACCGCATTCACACCTTGTTCAAAACATACCTCTTGTTCATGAAGAGGGAAAAAAGAGCAGGTACCTTATTGTACATAAGGAAAAAAGTCTTTCAGAGATTCCTGTTTCAGTGAATGCTATTTCTGATCTGCTAGGTGGAACCGTGATTCATGTGACAGCATGTATGCTAGTTTCAAACACTTCACAGTAATGTTCCACCCTGAACAAAGATTGAAAGTATTACTGGTGCTGGTCTGTTTCCAGATCAAATGTCTTCTAGTGACAAGTTAAAGTTCTAACACTGGGTTCTTTTCTTATGAATCATCTTTCATAAAAATGATTTTGCAGTTACAGTGATGGCACAGGTTTTGTACAGGCATAACCAGACTGGAACTTAAAGTGTGAAACGAAATAGAATGTAGCACGTACATTTGCACAAGAGGGTTAACACAGAGCAAAACTGGTAGTAGAGCAAGACAAGGCTACTACATATATTCAAGGGGCTGATCTCAGAAGTGGGATGTATTTTCATAGTCACTCATCATACTAGATCTGCAATTCTCCTAGAACTGTATGCTAAGTCTAATGACAAAAGACAGATCAAATTAGCTTGAGATTTAAGAATATCATCTTGCAACTTTAAGAGTGCCAAAAACCGATACTCTGCCATATCCAATTCATTCATACTTTAATTCCCCCTTGGCATGAACCATTACATTCCTGCCTTATTTGCTTAATGGCTGATCTTGACTCATCTTCCTGCGTTGGTTCCTTTAATCTATAGAACTTTTATAAGATCAGAGGGGAGAAGTACCATTACATGTTTTATAGAATCATATTAATATTACACCCTTTTAAGGGGAAGCACCAGTTTTTACTTTTTAAAAATTTCATATTTAATTAGGTTAGGCTGGTAGCAAGCAAAATCAGAGGTTGGTCTATGTCTAAGCTCACTGATAACACACTGCATCAAATGAGTTTCTAACAAAACCACTTATTACTGTACCAAACTATTAACAGTAATAAGCATTAAAGCCCAGTGCAAGAACATTTTAGAAGCAGATGCTGTTTGCGGTGTAGTGAGCAGTGTTCACAGCTATGTATAAAAATAAATTATTTAGTAGTTTGAATAAACCTGTTAAGTACTTAATATTTTCTCCAGAGTCTTACAAGTGCTACCTTAAGAGAATCAAATACAGACAGTGTCTACTCAATAGTGATATCAAACCTAAAGGTTGAAAGGGATAGCTTCAAAATGATTGCAATATTTGTATCCGATTCTCTTAGTTCCAGTTAAGGAGCTGAAGAACAAGGTTGAAGATAAGCAGTTAATGCCCTAAAAAAAAAAAAAATGCATGAATAGCTATTTGTACAATGGGGAGGAATACGGTGTGCTGCTACTTTATTTTAATTAGATTACATAGTTTTACTATTTTAAATTGACATTTACCTATAGGAATCTTTTAAAATCATTACTCACATCCGGTAAGTAATCTAACACTCTTCCCTTTGTTTCGTCTGACTACAACTAACGACTGGAAAGTCACATTTTTAACTGAAGTTTTACAGCAATACATTTTTTAACTGTACTCTAGCAAAGACTAAAAAGGTTTTTCTTTTTCTCCCAGGCACCTCCCCCCAGGGAGTTCGTGCTTTTTACAAAACTGAATGATTAAAGGAGTTACTGCTTCATGTGACGTCTAACCCTCATGTGATATGATGCCTAAAGAACAGAAAAGGTTGTTTCTATTTGCAGAATTTTAGGAAAGTGCCAATAGCCAAATTTCAAAACTTACTATACATCTGCAGGAACAGTTGATAATGGCCTCCTGCCACTAGATGGAAAGCTGGAAACAAATTTTACATGTTACTGATATATTTTGGTGCAGTAAAATGTGGCTATTATACTTATAAGTAAACATTAATTTTGACTGGTAAAAACTAATACAATAAACAACACATCCCTTATGATTTCAGAGCTAAATTATGTATCCAAAAATCTAATTTAGCTGGAAATTCTTTTTGAAAATAGCCTATAAACCCCTATTTTCCTGGCCCAGTAAGTATGGCTCCTCCATTATTTCCTCAGGTGAAACTTTGAGTATGAGATCTGATATTACTCTGTATTATTTATTCATTACAGGTGAAACACTGGGGATTCCAGAGACAATAATGGGCCTTACATTACTAGCAGCAGGGACAAGCATACCAGACACAGTTGCAAGTGTGCTTGTGGCTAGGAAAGGTAAGGATTTCAGTATTCACATTTGCTTCACTGATCCTTTTAAAGGGGTATGCTAGGGCAAAGAATTCTTTATTTCACTATTTCTGAAAGGTCCAGAGGAGGTCACAGCTGCTGCTCAAGAGCCTATAATACAGGTTTACTAGTACTAAACAAAACTTTGTCTGAAGTCAATGGATTCCAAAATTAATGTTTAAAACAAGTTGTTCAAGCTATCCTAGGAATAGTCCAATCTGTTCTTGAATAAGTGTTACAGTTCACTTTAAAAACCACCAGTAAATGAATGCAAGTTATTTTGTCCCAGCATAGCTGATTTCAGACCACTTGAACAGCTTATTTTATCAAGTGTGATTGTACAGATGCTGGGTTTTGGGGAAATTATTGAAAAAAAATTTACGAAGCGCAAAAGATGACTCTCTTAATCAGCGTCTTTTGTTTTGCAGGAAAAGGAGACATGGCTTTGTCTAACATTGTAGGATCCAATGTATTTGATATGCTGTGCTTAGGAGTACCTTGGTTTATAAAAACTGCTTTCGTAGATAGATCAGCACCTGTGGAAGTGAACAGCGGTGGTTTGACTTATACAGCCATTTCTCTTATCTGCTCCATTGTTTTTATTTTTCTGGCAGTTCATTTAAATGGATGGAAACTAGATAAGAAACTAGGAGCAGTCTGTCTAGTGATGTACTTAGCATTTGCTACATTATCAATTTTATATGAACTTGGGATCATAGGGAACAATCATGTGAGAGTCTGTGATGACTCATTTTAAAGTCAGTGACTGTATTGAAGAAAATAAATAAATAAATAAAAAAAAACCAAGAGAGGAGAGTAAGGATCAATTTCTTCATTTAGTGAAATAAAAAAAATCCAAAACTCCCTCTGGGCTCTAAAACTTATTTACAGAACTTCTAAACCATGGCTTAAAAGTAATCTTAAAAGTAGAACAAAAAGCATCACAGCCTACTTGGAGCCCTTTTCTTTTAGAATCAAGAATAAACAGTGTAACTACAATGCATATATAAAAGCAAAATTCTGAAAAAAAGTCTAAATTTTTACATTACAATGTTGATACAGGATGGGGGAAAAATCTGAAACACTAAACATATCCCACTATGCAATCTTGAGATTAACAGAGAAAATGGCTTATTTTATTAAAAACGGTATAACCATTCATTTAAACTGAATGACTAGAGACACTTGGCCTAATTCTCCAAAGGTGCAGAGCATCCACAGCTTCCACCATCTGTAATGGGACCTGCAGGTGCTCAGTGCCTCCAAAAAACAGGCAGCTGTCTTTAAAAACCAAACATAGTAAGATTCAGTTAACAAGAATCACAGTATATTAAACACTATACTGTTAAAGGCTGGTGGGATTTAAAAGTTCGTTTTTACAGCTTTTGTAAGCATACAATGTTACTAAAAATGACTTACTAGGATAGAGAAGCTAAACAGACATAGGAATGTTCCTGAACACACAGTTTTAAATTATGCATTGCGATCCAAGCGTACATCAATTTCTCTGCCACTGATTTTTATGCCATTCATTATTCTACAGGCCTTTTCAGCAGATTCTGGCGAGTCAAATCTGACTGTTCCACAGCCTTTTGATTTTCCATTCTCCATTTTTATTTCTGCGAACATTACGTGACCTGAATAAATAAGTTAAACGGCAGTTATTAGTCTAGATTGTACTACCAACTTGGATAACCACTTTTTAAGAGGCATCTGCTATTTCCTGAAATGTGCAATCAATGGAGCTGACCCCTTTCAAAGTCTTGTGCCCATCTTGTTCAAAACTTAACTAACTGACCAGAGCTTTCATCCCAACACTGCACTGCTGCTTGGACCATGTTACGTTTCCATAACAGATGTAACCCACATAAATAAAATATTAATTTTCTAGAAATGTAAACCTGTTAATTGACAATTGATGGGGAGGTATTCTTTGGGACAGTCTTTTCTTCATAAAAGGAAAAGGAGGATGGGCTTTACATCCCTTTCAGTTATACAGAGCTGTCAAGAACTTTCCAGATGCTAGTCATCGCAGTCTGATGAAAGACTGATACCTAACCCACTGTGCTTAGCGGAACATAGCCAAAAAAAGCATGGGTTTGTTGCGGGTAGGTCTTGCTTGACCAATCTCCTTTCCTTTTATGACCAGGTGACTTATCACCTGGACATAGGGGAAGACAGCAATGCTGTATACCTCGACTTTAAAAAAAAAAAAAAAAGCCTTCGATCAGGTATCCCACGATCACCTTGTGGCTAAACTGGCTATCTGCTGGCTGGGGAACTGGCTCTGTGGTAGGACCCAGAGGGTGGTGGTTGACAGGAGCCAATCGTTGTGGTGCCCCGTGACCGGTGGGGTCCCACAAGGCTCTGTCCTAGGGCCTATACTGTTTAACATCTTCATCAATGATGTGGACATTGGTGTCAGAAGCAGACTGGCCAAGTTCATTGACAACACCAAACTCTGGGTTAAAGCATCCACACCTGAGGATAGGAGGGTAATCCAGGCAGATTGGTTGACAGGAGCCAATCGTTGTGGTGCCCCGTGACCGGTGGGGTCCCACAAGGCTCTGTCCTAGGGCCTATACTGTTTAACATCTTCATCAATGATGTGGACATTGGTGTCAGAAGCAGACTGGCCAAGTTCATTGACAACACCAAACTCTGGGTTAAAGCATCCACACCTGAGGATAGGAGGGTAATCCAGGCAGATCTAGACAGGCTCAGGAAATGGGCGGACGAGAACCTGATGGTGTTCAACACCGAAAAATGCAAGGTTCTCCACCTTGGGAGAAAAAGCCTGCAGCATGCTTATAGGCTCGGTAGTGCTACGCTGGTTAGCACTACAGGTGAAAGGGACTTGGGGGTCACGGTTGACCACAAGATGAACACGAGCCTTCAGTGTGATGCTGCAGCTAGTAAAGTGAGCAAGACACTGGCTTGCATCCATAGGTGCTTCTCAAGCAAATCCCGGGACGTCATTCTCCTGCTGTACTCGGCCTTGGTGAGGCCACAGCTGGAGTACTGCGTCCAGTTTTGGGCTCCACAATTCAAAAAGGATGTGGAGAAGCTTGAGAGGGTGCAGAGGAGAGCCACGTGCATGATCAGAGGTCAGGAAAACAGACCTTATGATGAGAGGCTGAGAGCCATGGAGCTATTCAGCCTGGAAAAACTGCAGGCTCAGGAGTGATCTGGTGACCACCTATAAGTTTATCAGGGGTGCTCATCAGGATCTGGGGGAACGTCTGTTCACCAGAGCCCCCACAAGGGATGATAAGATCGAACAGTCAAACTCCACTGTGACCGATTCAGGCTGGACATAAGAATGAACTTCTTCACTGTCCGAGCCCCCAAGGCTTGAAATAGACTGCCGCTGGAGGCAGTTCAAGCACCCACTATGAACGCCTTCAAGACACATTTGGATTCTTATCTTGCTGGGATCCTATGATCCCTGCTGACCTCCTGCCCCTGGGGCAGGGGGCTGGACTCAATAATCCTCTGGGGTCCCTTCCAGCCCAAATGTCTATGAAATTTATGAGAAATAGCAGGAACCAGCAACCTTCAAGCTGCAGGCTGGGAATAGGGAGAAGTGGGAGCAGCATGGAAGCAGATTCCAGCTCCCCGGTCCTAGCACAGGAGCAGAGAGCTCCAATTACACTGCCATTGCTTCTCCCAGCCCCCACTCTGGCTGCAACCAGAAGGGGCCTGCTCTACAACCAGGGAACTGGAAGTTGCTTCCATACTGCTGCTACCACTTCTCCTTGCCCTTGGCACAGCTACTAACTAGAGGGGAGGGCAGAGAAGCAGCAGCAATGCGAGTATAGCTTCCAGCTCACCAGCCACAGCAGTTCTTCATTGCTCAGCCCCAGTGTGGACATGGAAATAATTGGCGCACTGTGAGCTGTACATTACGGACTCCTGTAAAAGGAGTGACACATGGGGAAAGTTATGAGACGTGATATAATATAATAGCTACCCTATACAAGATGTTTATCTGTGAGAAGGGAAGGGGGTTTTGTCCAGGGCTTGACTATTTGGCAGCAGGGGAGGGGTGACAGTATTAAAGTTCCACTGGTCTCCCACCACCGAAGTTTTCTGACCCATGAGGAGCTCTCCAGGCTGGATGCTATGGCTCCATGAGCACCCCTGACTTAACATAAAGAGCCTTCTGTACACAATTTTTTAAAAAGATATGATACTACATCACCCATTAGACCTTAAGGCATTAATACAAACAAGCCACCAGATATAAAAACAAGCCTCCTTGAACTATACATACTTTATTTTTTTTTAAAGGCAGTACTCTAACTTTGTGCGTGTTAACTAGCCTTTCACTGAAAAAAAGAGCATTTTGAGACAACAAATCTTGATTCTCCCTGGAAGACACCAGCATGAAGATAAACTGTTACTTTCTTTAAATCTCTGGATAAGCATTTTCAATGCAAGCACATTTTTAGCTGTGTAGCTACATTCATACAGGTAGGCTGCACCATTTCAACTGTTTCTACACAGCTAAAAGAATACAAAACTAATAGGTAGACAAGTTTATGATCACTTTCTAAATTTGTCCAAAAGACAAGAGACTTTCCGAATTAACTACCAAAATGTTACAGAATATCCACACCAATTCTGCATCTTACGCAACACCCCCCCCCCAAAAAAGCAGGAATCCTTTTATTTCCTTTAAATAAGGAAGTTACTGCCCTCATAAACAAACAAAGCAGGTCCACCTAGCTGCATAGAAATAATCTGTATTTAGCTAGGTCACATCTAAAAAGTTTCAAGAGTTTATTTCCCTAAATTAAGAGACAAATATTTAAAACTAGATAAACTATTCTCCAGGCTATTTAACAACTTGTTTCACCACTGTCCTTTGTCAAATGACTACTCATTAAGCTTCACTGACTTCATGGTTTATGCAAGAGAAGATTCATATACTTACCACATTGACTGAATTTCTCCTTTAGTTTCTGCCAGGTCAAGTCAAAAGGAAGCTAGAATGAAAATAGGTATTAGTAATATACACAGTGTGTGTAAAACATGCTGTTTTGTTTGTTTGAACTCACATGCTTACATTTCTGACAAATATTTGATTGCCTTTAGAGCCTAGTCTCTCTCTCATGCCACTTCCCATTGGGCCAGCTACAAATCCTCGATCCATATCGATGTTTCTTTCCAGGCCAGCTCCCATTGCTGGTCCCATTCGATCAAAGCTAGAGCTCATTCGGTCCATCCCCATTCCCATTCCTCCAGTCATACTGTTCATACCACCCATTCCACCACCTGGACAGAAAAAAAGATAGAAAGAACAGAATTTCAGGGAAAAGTTCTCTTTGATAATAAATGCAACTCGGGCAGCATACAAAGCTTAGTTAACCAACAGGTCTCAGGTGGTAAAAAGTGCAGTTATTTTACACACTAGAACTGGTCTAACACACCACATTCGTTTTATACTTGGTCCAAGTAATTAAGAAATAATATGAATATACTGTTTCACCTACTACTGTGCTGCATGCTTTAACTTAAAATATAAACAAAAATTTACCAAAGGGGGGGGGGGGGGGGGGGAAGGTATCAAGTATCAAAAGTAATATAATGAACCTATCAGCACCCTATTAAAAAATACCAAACCATTATTATAATTATATTTACATACTTATAAATTAGATGCAATAAAATATACTAATCTATATACATTTCATTTCAAAAGTTCCAGGACATTGATAACTCAGAGGTTTCCCCTTGGAAAGCACAAGGGATAAGGAAAACAAAATGTGCCACCAAAGATATCCACTGTCAAAATATCAGTGTCTTTCATTATCCTGGCTGGAAGTAGTTACGTCTCTTGCATATGACTTTTGCCTTCACATACAAAAAAAAAAGCAGAATAATTCTCTGAAATTCTATACCATTCATTTCTAGTTTAATTTATGGCTATGAAATGTTACAGAAATACCAGAGTTCTGTTTTGCCACTGTCCATACAAATACCACTCCCTACCTTTCTTCTGAAAAAGACTTACTTAGAACACAGTTTGTTCTACCACAAATATTTAAAGTATTTAAGAAGGCACTAATTCCAACACTAAATGTTGAGAGAATGGAGTAAGTGAGAAAAAACTTAAATGTTACTTATAAAAGAAATCACCACTAGCAAAAGAGCTCCAAGAAAAATGAAAGTTAGTCTCAAAACCTGGAACCATTCCATCAATGTTTTCCTACCACTGATACAGCATTGCACTAGAACAAGTTAAATTACTTTCACAAATCATCTGCTACATCTATACATTGATCATTTACATTCTTTTAAAACCAATCAACCTACTCATTCCAGATCCTACTGGGCCCATGCTAGGAGTTCCCATTCCTCCTGCAAAACCACCAACCATTGCACCACCTAAACAAGGACAGAAAAAAAAAATTCAAGTGATAGATGCTAAGACTATAGCTGTAAGACAAAGCCACACAGTATTAGCAACTACACTAGTAACATTAACCACACACACTCTCACTCTTACCTGGTAATTCTTTTCTGTGGACTAATTTCACTTGTACAGACTAAGTATGTGGCATTTTATCATGTTGAATGGGAGGCATCTAACAAAACGTATTCACACTTTTACCTCTTGGGTATTTAGCTATTCCCCTTTTCTTCTCCTTTAGGCTTTAAGATGCTTTCTAAAGCTTTTCTCTCAGGTAAGGAATTATTTTTCCCACACAGATACATTGCCAATAGAGTAAGCTACATGGAACTAAACAAGTAGTCTACTAAAATGATCTTAAAAGTACTAAAATAAGACCAAAGAACCACCTTATTTAAAAAAAAATTTTTAAATCTCTTTGGTTAGAAACAGACAGAGAAATCACCTATTGCGCTGAGATACATCCTGAGATAGCTGATCCACTTCACTGAGCAAAACACATATCACCGGTGATGTGATCTTGCAGGACAACAGGTGACATATTCCCCTCTTCCAGAGATGAACCTCCAGCAATATCTTGGGTTTCCAGAGGTTGCTGAGGAAGCCACTCTGCAAGCAGGGAATCCAAGGGCACATCTCAGGAAGTAGGGAAACCCAGGACAATCTGGGGCTGGGGCCCATCACTCCAGCTTTCCTTGCTTCTAGAGAAATATCCCCAGGATCTCTGGGGCAGTCTCTGGAAGCAGGGAAAGTTGGGGTTCCCACACTTGCAGAGGTGTACCTCCAGCAATCTCCAAGGCAAGTCACTAGAAGCAGAGCATCCTGACTATTCCTGCTTCTAGAGATGTGCCCCAGATATTGCCAAGGATGTGTCTGGAACCAGGGAGAGCCAGGCAACTACTCCCTGGGACTGACAGGCCCAAATCCGTGCAGGCATTCCCAGGGAGTGCCTGCCCAGGGTGACAAGAGGGCACACGCAGCTCCAAACTGCCAGAGCAATCCTGCCATCAAGCAAATACAGAGGTCCACTGAAAAGCGGCACAATTTATTGCTACCTTTAGTCACAAACATGGTACAACAAAAAAGTATGGATATGTATTTGCTTTCGCTTTGTGCCGCCATAAAAATTATGGCGGGACAAAAAGGGAACCCTGGTTCTCACC